GGCAGGCAGGGTTCCTCTCACACTCCCACCGGGTGGGGCCTGCTCAGATTCACTCTGAAGACAAGGAGAAGCAGAGACCTCAATCTGCCTCCAGGTCACTGGCTCAGGCCCGTGGACTCTGGGCGAGAGCCAGCCGCTAGCCGGAACATGAGCTGCAGGATCACCACTCGGGCTAGGAACTGGTGGGAAGACCCAGCCCAGGTGGGAAGACCCTCACAGCTCAGTGACAGCAGCAACCCAGAGAGATAGCTTGACCTGAACCTTTCCTGGGCCCCGGGGGGCCAGAAGTTTATTGATATGCTGAAAGGATTTGGTGGCAAAGTAAATGAAGCCTCCAAACTAAAGCAAGCGTGGGGGGTCCTGAAACAGGCCGAGACCACCCCGTGGGTGTCCTTGGGGGGGGGGAGGGCAGTAAAGCACCTTGTTCCACTCCCAGGAAGCAGGCCCAGGCAGAGGAACGGTAGAGCCCGCCCCGATGGGGTGCCCAGGTAAGCGCCGTCTTGAAGACACCAACTCTCTCTGCCTCGTACACTGCTACAGGGTGGAGCGCCCTCTTGAGTGCACACCAGGACAACTGCCTGGGATGGTGGCCGTGCAAGGACCAAACAGATGAATGATGTCACTGCTTCTGTAGCCCAACTTATAAACCCTTTCCCTGCAGTAGCTGGTCACATCAGAGCACCGTGGAGAGGGAAGTGCCCGTTCAGGTGGCCGCTGCTGGACAAAACATTGAGGAGATTGAAGATGTACTTTCTGGTGAAGCACCCTGTGAAATGGAGGAGAACGTGCTCCGACAGTTGCCTCTGGATCCTCCCCGTGAGCCTCTCTGATGAACCTCTATCCCATCCCCCTCCAGGTCTCCTCTTGGCAGCCTGCCCCACTGCCCTAGCACATCTGGGCTGTGGATGGTCACAGGGACAAATGTGAAGACATGGTCAGGTGGACACACCCTGCTCCACCAGGCCCCCACCTGGAGCTCGTCCCTCTTAACCCTGCGGGCACAGACCGGGGGAGGGCTGCAAACAGCCGGGTGCACGTGTCAGCTGTCTGCTGTGCCACGGTGCTTTCTCAAACAGGATCATGTGCCTTTGCTTGTTGGATCAGACCTGGCATCTGTGGCCGGCGTCAACAGAGAGATTACCGAGCTCATTTTATGGATGGGCTCAGAGAAGCAAGCCGTGTGACTTCCCAAGAGTGGAGGTCCCTGGACTAAATCTTAGTGAAGGAGAAACTTAAGGGCCTAAGTTCACGTTCACCTTTTGCCATTTAGAAAGCACATATGATCAAGATGGAAAGAACAAACAGATGAAGCCACTCTTGTCCACCCCTGAAGTGCCATGCACATGCAAGGTGTCTTATAGCCCTTCTCCCTCTCCCTCCTCTCTCTGATCCACACACACACACACACACACACACACGCATGTTTCTGGGGATCCCCCTGGATGTATAATCATAAGTGCTTCTTGATGTAATAATATGTGTGATCATCCTGTAACGTGGCTTGAATTCTTCTCGGAGCATTGATTCAGAGGCTGGCTCAGCAGCCCTGAGTCTGACCCGTGCCCTCCGCACACCCTTAGATGGCTTTCTGTCTGGCTGGTGGGGATAGCTCTGTGTGCTGTTTTCCCTTACTGGGAGTTCGTGTCTCCCTCTTACCGTGATTACATCCAGAGCTGCACCTGGGTCTGGCCCTCTTCCTCTGCTCTCTGATCTAATTTCCCACTCACTGTGCTGACTGCCGATTTGACATCTTTTTTTTTTTTTAAGAGAGAGAGAGAATTTTTTAAATATTTATTTTTTAATTTTCAGTGGACACAACATCTTTATTTTTTGTGTGGTGCTGAGGATCGAACCCAGCGCCCCACGCATGCCAGGTGAGCGCGTTACAGTTTGAGCCACATCCCCAGCCCCAACTTGACATCTCCGATGTGATGGTTTTATCAACCCTGACTTTCCAGGGGCAGTATCTGGCCTTTTCCCCAATGTTGAAGGGCATAGACCATGTCCCCCAAAAGCTCCTGTGCTGCTGCAGGAATGTTCAAATGTAAAGTTGTTACCAAAAGCTCAGCCCTTGTCCTGATACCAATTGAACAAGGACAAGGACATGGTTTTGAGCAAAGGGGAAAAGAAGTATTATTGCTTTGCTAGCAAAGGAGAAACAAGATTCCTGTCCCAGAAGTGGTGATTCTGCCCATCTGCAGGAACAGGGGGCTTTTAAAGAGGGGACTCAAAGGCTCCACTCCAGTGTTCTCTGTTGAAGTTGTAATTCACTTGTTACTTTGGGAGACAGTCATTTCTGTGATCTGCTGGTGCCACCCCCAAAGTCTGACTTACTTTGTTCCTATGGGTGGGTGTGTCCTCGAGGACAGATAACTCTGCCTAGGATGGGAGAGAAAGGTAACCCTGTTTCGCCTGAGATTAAGGAGGAGCAGGGAGAGATTAGGGAGGAACAGGGGGAGAGAAAGAGAAAGAAACATGTCACAGTGGCAAAGCAGCAAGGGTTGTATTCGAAGCATAAAGTGAACCCCTGTTACAAATGATTGGACTGTGAGAGTTGTGAGCTCAGAGGTCCATTCTGGTTCAGATGGACTGGCTGGGAACCATAGGCAGGGGGTGTGGCTGCAGGAGGGTCACTGGTGGAATGCTCTAGAAGGGTGCATCTTCCCTGTGGCCCCTTCCTTCCCCCTCTCTGTGCTTCCTGGACACCAGGAATGAAACAGCTTCCCTCTGCCACTCCATTCCACCAAGATGTTCCACCTCACTCCTTGTTCCCAGAGCAATGGACTCACCTAACCATGGACTAACTCTCTGGAACCATGAGCCCATAATAGACTTGTCCTCCTGTGAGTGGCCCACGCCTGGTATTTTGGCCAGCAATGCAAAGCTCACTAGCACAGCAATTGCTACTGAGAAAAGGGGTTGTTGCTGTGACAAATGGCTGGAGGGTACACGTGTAGGGGCTCATAATGTGGCTGGGGGTGCACATGTAGGGGCTCCTCATCATGTGTCTAGAGGATGCACCTGTGAGGTTCCTTAGATGGCTGGAGTGTGCACCTATATTTGCTCATCAGGTGGCTGGAGGGTGCACCTCTGTGGGTCAGAATCACATGGCTGATTTGTGCACCTGTGGGGTTCATCACGTGGCTAGAGGGTGCACCTCTATGGTTCATCACATGGCTGAATGGTACACCTGTAGGGTTCATCACATGGCTAGAGGGTGATGAGACTTGTGGGGCTCTCCACATGTCTAGAGGGTCCACCTGTAGGGGCTCTCCACATGTCTAGAGGGTCCACCTGTAGGGGCTTTCCACATGTCTAGAGGGTCCACCTGTAGGGGCTCATCATGTGTCCAGGGTGCACCTGTGAATATAATCATGAGGCTGGAGGGTGTGCAAACAAGGCCTCATCGTGTGTCCAGAGCAAACACCTGTAGGGGCCCATCATAGGGCTGGAGGGTAAACATGTGGGGCTCTTCACGTGTCCACAGGGTGCACCTCTAGGAGCTCATCATGTGTCCAAGGGTGCACGTGTAGTGGGTCATCACATGGCTGGAGCGTGGGCCTACAGGGCCTCATCAGGTGTCTAGAGGGTGCACATGTGGGGCTCCCATATCAAGAAGGTGCACTTGTGGGGCTCATGATGTGTTCAGAGGGTGCACATGTGGGGCTCATCACATGGTTTGAAGGTGCTCTGGTAGGGTCTCATAACATGGCTGGAGTGTGCACCTGTAGTTGCTCATCATGTGGCTGCAGGGTGCACCTGTGGGGGCTCATCTTGTGGCTGCAGGGTGCACTGTCGGTGCCTATCACGTGTGTGGGTGGAGGGTGCACCTCTGATGAGCCCGTCGCATGGGGCGGCTCTGGATCTCTCCGTGGCCCCCTCGGGCACTCTCCTTGAAGTGTGTCCCGCCTTCCCCAGAATGAACATCCTAACACCGAGGCCAGAGCTGTGCTGCTCTCCGCAGCCTCCGGAGTCGGTTCATCGATAACTAGACGCATGCAGCAAGAATCACAAACACTTCTGAAAGGGGTGTGTCTGGTCCTCTCTGCGACCCCCTTGCCATGAATGGGGCTGTCACAGAGGTGAGGACCTGGACCATCTTTCCAAACCTCTTCAGGGCTCCCTGAGGTCCAGTGAAGACACGATCCCTCTCCGGCTCTTTTTCTCAATGGAGCAGGGTCCAGCAGCTCTGGGACTGAAGCCGCCACAGATGGATGGCAGAAGACGGGGGAGACCCCTTCAGGCTGACGGTGACCACGTGAAACAAGGCCACTCTTCACATGAGTCTGTTTTGTTTTAAAGTACAGTTTTCTTTTTTGGAAAAAAAGAGTATTATTTATGGTTGTATGTGATGGGTCTGGTTTATTTTAAAATGAATCCATAAGTGTTTTACATTTATCACCTTTGTTTTCTAGTATGGGAAATATCAGAGGCTGTGATCCACTCCAGCAAAATCCTCCGGGATCCTCACTGACTCAAGCACCTGCAGGAGTTCAAGACCAGTGGGTGCCTAGGGAACGGGGGCAGCCGTCCTGGAGGCTGAGGACGACCTAAGGATCCAAGCCCCCTGCTGTGTGAGACAGACAAGGTAAGACTGCAGTGCACAGCAAGAGCTCGTTTATGTAAAATCAAATAACAGCAGGACTTTGCTTCACCTTGATTACACTGCAAGAATCCTCTTTGCACAAGGTCTGGTGGAAATGGCCGCAGGGCTCCTGGGAGGAGGCGGGAGGTGGAGGAGGACTTTCACTTCTCCCCTGTGGATCTCCACACTGTTTGAACATTTGACAACAACGGGATTTGTTCACCTACTACCTAGCTTTCTGTTTCTGTTTTTAAGAAGAGAAGTGGAAGTTAACAGAGGGACTGGCCTCACCCAGCTGGGTGGACTCTTCAGAGAAGGCAGGTATCAGAGGCCAAGGACACTCAGGAACGCTTCGTACCCGGTGCCCTGGAGTCTGAGAATCCTGTGTTGGCTTTACTAATTCAGGTGCCAGAAACACTGATTCAGTACATTCAGGAGGCCCTGGCAGAGGATCTAGCCAGCTCCAAGGTGTGTGCTGTACACGGATGTCTGGGAACTCAGCCAGCTGGCCCAGGGGTGGAGCCGACCGGCCACAACTATAACAGGCCACTGTGTCCTGATCTCTTTCTAAACACCCTCGAGCCACGGCTCCCACACGGCACCCCAGTGCCTCTGTATCAGGGTGTCTGAAGGCAGGAAGCCTCGGAGCACCACAGAGGAGCAGCAGGCTCAGGCCGCCGTGGAGAGAGAGCCAAGGTCTCCAACCACCCTCCCTGACCTTCTTCACGCAGGCACCAGAGACCCCTGTGTGTGCAGGGGGCGGAGCTTTGCTCCATGGCAACCTCATCACCATGGTAACTGCAAACTGGTCCAATGGGGCATCTTACAGTAGAGGGAGCAGGAAGGGAGCTGGGGGTCACGGGTACCACGGCGTCCCAGGGAGCTGGTGTTGGTGGAGGTGTCCGTGCTGACGACGACGATGGGCATGCCACCTACATCACTGGGGGAGGGGCTGTGCGTGTCGCCCACCTGTGGCCCACCATGGGCCCTCCTTGCACTCCATGTTGTGGGTGGGAAGGGGGTCGAGGCTCGCCAAGCCCACGGTCAGGAGGTGGAGAAAGCAGGTGCTGGCCTGGGCCTGGGTGCCCAGGGGCCCGTGGCCTGGTCCTGGCCACCCTCACGTGACCCCCCAGCTTCACAGCAGGCAGTGGAGCACCAGTCCCGCGGGCAACCCCAAGCCGCCGGCCACCACCCTGGCTCTGTGTCCTCCTTGCACGGCCTCCTGAACAGGGTTGGTGAGGACGGAGAGGCTGGACGTCCGAGGGGTTTTCAGGAAGAAGGTTCGCTGACTGCGGTCGTCCAGAGAGGGCTGTCGCCCGAGACCCTCTGAACAAGGGTTCCGGAAGTTCCTGGGACTTCCCACCCCGGGGAGGCGGGGCTCGGGCTCGCTCAGAGAGAGCCTCCCTTGGAGCTCTCAGGAGGCGCCTGGTCTCCTTTCTCAGAACCACGGAGGCCCCCGCAGACGCAGCTTCTGAGGACAGAGCGGCAGGGACAGGCAGCCGGCCACAGCGAGCCTCTGTGAGCTCCTGGGAGGCTCTTTACCGCAGGTCCTCTGCGGTCTGCAGCCTGCCCAGGGTCAGCACTCGCCCATCCTGCCTGGGCCTGGCCGGTCACGGCCGTCTGCAGAACCCAGGACCCGGCGCTCGCGGGCACAGAGCGGACGGAGGTTCACCACCGAGGCTCGGCTGGAAGGCCTCCACGTGCAGCTCACTCTGTGTGCTGGCCTGAGTGTGTGCACACGGCCCCGCATGCGCTCACACACACAAAACACCACATAGACACACACCATACACACACACACACCCCACACCACATACCACACACACACACCAACACACACCACACAGACACACCAACACACACCATGCACACACCAACACACACACAAAACCACATAGACACACACACCACACACACACACACACACACACACCACATACCACACAGACACACACACCCCCCACACACCACATACCACATGGACACACACACACCCCTCACAGACACACATACCATACCATACCACATGGACACACACACACCCCACACAGACACCCCCCCCACACACACCACACAGACACCCCCCCCACACACACACACCCACACACACACCCACACACACCCCCCACATACCACACACACACCCACACACATACCCCACACAGACACACAACACCCCCACACACACACACCACATACCATATGGACACACACACACACACCACATACCACACAGACACACACACACCACATACCATATGGACACACACACACACCACATACCACACAGACACACACACACCACATACCACATGGACACACACACACCCCTCACAGACACACACACACCACATACCACACAGACACACACACACCACATACCACATGGACACACACACACCCCTCACAGACACACACACACCACATACCACACAGACACACACACACCACATACCACATGGACACACACACACCCCACACAGACACGAGGAGAAGTGGCCCCTGACCCTGGAGACCAATGTCTTCTCTCTTCTCAGGGATGGGGACCTGTGGGCCTGAGGGACAGGTCCAGCTGAACCTGGAAGAACTCTGGCTGATGTGGACCTGTCCCTCAGGAAACGGCCTGGACACCGTCCCCATAGCTGGACCCCATCTGTGCGTCTTTTGGTGCCCCCTGGTCAGCCGTCCATCTTCATTCTGAGGAGACCATTCCCTGGAGCCGTCACCTGCTCCCAGGTGGTCCCCCAGCTTCTACCCTCTTAGTAGCTCTGACAGTTCTTCCTTGGGTCTACCTGGCATCCTCTAGGGAGGCCTGGCTGTTCCTCCTTGTGCTTTGGCCACACGGCCAAGGGGTACAGAGGGTGGGACACACTAGGGAGTCTCTGAAGACAAAAAGCCGGTTCCCTGCAGGACAGGCCTTTTCCCTCCTACCAGCTCACCAATCCCTTCCTCACTTAGTCAAGAAAGTGGCGCAGGACATTCTGTGTCAAGGGCCACTAGGCGAGGCTGGGGCCTCCACAGGAAAGCCCGGCTCCTGCCTCGCACCGGCTGACCCCACGCCCTCCCGCTTGCCCAGAGAGGCCCACTCTCCTCCCTCCCTGAGGTCAGGGCCTCCACCAGGCAGAGGCTGTGGCAGAGAGACTGCGCTTCCTGGGGTCTCTCCTGAGCACCTAAGGGAGACAGGGAGGAGGATGGTTATCCCAGTGACCCACCCAGCACCCACCCAGCACCCCCACACCTACTGAGCATCCCAGTAGCAACTGACATCCCGCACCTACTCAGTGCCCCAGCACCCACTTAGCAACATAGCACTGCTTGGAGCCCCAGCACCCACGCAGCACCCAGCATCTACTCGGTTCTTCCTTTGCTCTGAGCTGCTACAGCAAAACTTCACAGACCAGCAACTTACGAGGAGCAGGCAGTCATGTGGCTTGTGGGCCTCATCAGGTCTGATGCGGGCTCTGCTGTGTCACAACACGGGGGAAGGTCTCACGGGGGAGGGGTAGATGGAGAGAGAGGCGGGCATGGCCCTCCTTCTGTGAGGGTCCCACTCCCAGGTAATAGCACCAATGCCCCGTCACCCCGGGAGGGCCCTTCCCAAACACTGCTGCTCTGCAGAGTTCCCAGCACATGGACTTTGGGGACACATTCAGGCCCCCGTGGCCATCAGGGCATCCACTTTCCCTGGAGTTTCTGATGTGTCCCTCCCTGGGAAGGACCGCACGCCTGAGCCCCTGGGGCAGCCAGTCCCACCCCTGGGATACTGCGCCGTGTCCAGGCTGTCCTCAGGAGCTGAGCAGCAGTGAGCCCAAGTCCCTCTGAGTTTCAGGACCTCCCACAAACCCTTACAGATGAAGCCATCGAGCACTGAGCCCTAGCCCTGTCCCTCGGCCCCAGGAAGGAACCTGGCCTCCCCAGGGCTCTGGGCCAGGACCTCCAGGTGCTCTTAAACATGCTGACGACCAGAGAGGGTTGATGGAGGGGCCTCCCGTTTAATTTATTTGCTTGTTTCTGATTTGTTTTACATGACAGGAGAATGCGTTCTGACATATTGGGCACAAGTGGAGCACAACCTCTCCTTCCTCTGGCTGAACATGGTGCAGAGTCACACCGTGGTGTGATCAGACATGTACATAGGGTAAGGATGTCCATCTCGTTCTGCTGACCCTCCCATCCCCACACCCTCTCTCCTCCCCTTACTCCCCTCTGCACAATCCAAGGTTCCTTTATTCCACCACACCCCCACTAGGGATTAGTATCTGCTCATCAGAAAAAACATCTGGCCTTTGGTGTTTGGGGTTTGGCTATTTCACTTAGCATGATATTCTCCAGCTCCATCCACTTGCAAATGCCATGATTTCATTCTTCTTTAAGGCTGAGTAATATTCCGTGGTGTATATGTACCCCATTTGGTTTATCCATTCACCCACTGAAGGGCATGCCAGTTGGTTCCATAGCTCAGCTATTGTGAAGGGAGCTGCTAGGTACATTGATGTGGCTGCGTCACTACAGTAGCCGATTTTAAGCCCTTTGTGTATCAACTAAGGAGTGGGATAGCTGGGTCCAATGGTGGTTCACTCCCAGTTTCCTGAGACTCTCCATCCTGCTTCCCGTGGTGGCTGCCCGGGTCTGCAGTCCGCCCGCGGTGTGAGAGTGGGCCTTTCCCGCGTCCTCGCTGACACCTCCTGCGGCCTGCAGGCCTCCTGTCTTAGACTCCAGCTGGTCTGTGTGTGGCCAGCCTGGGAATGGCTGCTCCTGGCGTCTTGCGGGTTCTAGAAGCAGGAAGGAGGCTGACCGCCTGTCACAGCAGGATGGCTCTGCTTTGCCTGTCGGGTCGAGGGTGGAAGGAGCAGGGACGTCCGGGGGCTCTGAAGGACTCCCCCTCCAGTGAGTGCCCTAGTGGACGGAGTCCTCTGGCCTGCCTCTGGCTCTTCTCTGAGCTTGCTCCTTGAGCCGCGCACCGTCACTTTCCCTTTCTCTGCCCTGCTGCAGTGTGCCGAGCGGCTTGGCCTGGGGACACACGCTCCAGGGCCAGGCAGGCCCCACGTCCTGTGAGGCTCTGCACCCGCAGAGCTGATTGTCCCCCACGAGGCTGGGGTGGCAGCCTGGGGTGGCAGCCGTGTTCTGCTGGCTGAACCCACAGCAAAAGCACAAGCAGAGAGTGTCCTGGTGGCTCCGCCAAGTGGAGCGGGGCTCGAGCTCCGCGGGCTGATGCCAGCTCTCCTGCCAGCCCCCCTCCTAGGTGCCTTCCAGAGGCCCCCACCACGGCTTTGGGGTGTGGGGTTGGGTTTTGCTGAGAGGGGCAGACACGGCCGATGGAGACGTGGGGGCTGCAGGCCTGTGGAAGGCCCTGCACCAACTTCAGACTCAGCCACACGTCCCGCAGGTAAGCATCAGTGTGGTGTTGAAGTCCTGTCAAGATTTAGCTCGGGGTCAGTAAGTCCCGATGCGTCTGCCTGCCCGAGGTCGCGCCTCTGATCTGGGGTCAGCAGCCTGGGAGGCCCTGGGGTTGGGCTGGAGGCAGGGCCGGCGACCCAGCGTCTGGGGAGCTCATCCTCCTGGTGTGAGCTCCTGGCTCTCCAGGGCCCCTTCCCTGCTGGCATCCGATGGCTGCCCGGCTGCAGGTGGGGAGGAGTAGCCTGAGCAAGGTGTGCCAGCGGCTGGGCTGGAAAGCGGAACGCGGCCTTCCCCTGGGGGGAGCAGGGGGGGCGGAAAACACCTGCTCAGGTTTCAGCGGTGAACGCACGAGTATGTGTGGGAACAGTGCACAGACAGACAGGCAGGCCTGAGCTGCTCGATGCCGTCATCACCATCACTGACGGCTCGTGGGAGGGGGTCCTGGCAGGTCCCAGCGGAGCTGACCACCCCTATCACCTGGTGGTGCGGAGCTCTCACACAGACACCCAGATAGCGGTGATTCTGATACAATCGGACAGTGTCATCGAACAACAGGGGGCCGACCCTTAATGCTTGGAGCAAGTTTCTGGGGAAAGTTTTGAAAAGAACCAAATGGCCTTAAAACGGAGACCAAGGGTCAGGTCCTGCCAAAGCACCCTGGTCCCCACGTGTGGCCCTGCTGGAGGGAGCCTCCCTCGGACTCCACTGCACAGGGAAACCGGATGCAGGCTCACCTGGAAGGGCGCGGCCCAGGCAGCCGCGGACAGCCGTGACCAGGCCCCGGCTGCTCGGACCCTCGGTCACGCATGGTTCTGGGTGTTTCTGGGTGAGAGGAGCCTCTGAGCCAGTGGGTGAAGGAACGCAGACACCTCCGCAGTGTGGGTGGCCTCGTTCGCCAGTCGAGTGCCTGAGAGCAGCGGAAGAAAGGCAGGTGCCGAGGAGGGAGGCTTCCTGCCTGCTTCAGGCTGGGACGTGGGCATCCGTCTCTGGATCGGATCGGCACCGTCAGCGCTCCGCAGCTTGCTGACCATGGAGCGCGTCAGCCTCCCTAGACCCCGAGCAGATCCCTTACAATAATCTCTCTCCACACACAGAGCCAGGGTCATCTAAGGACAGGGACACAGTCTAGAAACAGGTCTGGTGTGGGCACGCTGGAGTGCACACACACAGGGCTGCCACGGGTGCAGTGCAGAGCCAACTCGAGTGCGCGAGCCGCTGCCCGCCAGCCATGGCACTGAGTCGCAGTGGCCTTCTTCAGTAGGAGCCACTCCAAACAGTGACACCCAGTGCAGCACAGGAAGACCTCAGCCCGTGCCACCAGCACGTCCCTGTGCGGCCGTGAGTTGCACACGGCACCACCATGGTTTGGCCAATGTCTGCCAGGCACCAGGTGACAGGCTTTCCAGCTGCGTTGTGACCTACGGGCCACCCTCGCAAGACATGTGCCTGTGGTCCCTCCTGGGCTGAGCCGTGGCTGTGGCCTGTGGCTGTGCTTAGACACACAGCACATGTCACCTCTGTCCTTGGGGCTCTGTGCTGTGCCAGGCAGCAGCCCTCAGTCCAGAGCTCTCAGCTTCCCCTGCCGCGCCCTGCTGGGCTCTGCTGTGACCTCTCCTGGCCACGGAGAGACTGGAGGGTGAGAGCCTGGGGTCTCCGGGGGCTGCAGAGGGTCAGGCAGGGCTCATGGCCTCGGGGAGGACAGCCAGCAAGTGAGTGCCCCCAGCCTGCGTGAGCAGTGAGCCGTGGGGGCGGGAATGCAGCAGGAGACAGGCGGTGACTGTTACCCAGGGGATGACAGGAAGCGGGGCTTCTGTGCAGGGTCCAAGGGGGAGCTCCTGAGGAGGGGAGCAAGCTAGAGGGAGTGAGCACAGGCATTGAGGCCACCGTCCCCAAGGGCAGGGCTGCGGCTCACCCAGGCCCTGCCTCAGGCAGGGTGTGAGCAGCAGGAGGCCCTCCCTGAGCTCAGGTGCCCCCGGGTCTGGTCGTCCACTCTCCCGCTGGGAGCCTCCTGTGGACAGCCTCCCTTGACAGTGCTCCTGGGGGACTTGAGGCCTCTGGGAGAAACCCAGGACAGGGCACGGGAGCAGCGTGGCAGGTGTGTGTCACCTGGTGCCGGGGAGGCCGGGTGTGCGCAGGTGCCCAGCGGCTGCCACCTGTGTGAGTCTCTCTGTGCCCCTGCCCCACTGACCTTTCCCAGAATCTGGGTGGGGCAGGGCCGTGTGGGGCAGGTGCCTCTGCGGGCGTGTGCGCCAGCTGCAGGGGCCTGGCCGGCCCACCTGGCACCCCGAGGTGCCTGGGCCCTCAGCCCCCTGGTTCGGGTGGATCCCTCGGTGGGCCCCTCCCGAGCTTTCCAGGCTGGCCCTTGGCCTGCAGTGACTGAGGAGGAGAACTGACAGAACCGGAACCATGCTGGGGGTAGCCCGGCTGCCCCGCAGGGTCCACTGAGCCCGGCCTGCCCCATGGGCTCCACTGAGCACCTGTCGTCTCACCTCCTTGGTCCTCGGCAGGAGCCCTGGACCCCGCACCCCGAGGCCCTCTTGGGAGACCCACAAGACCCTCCCTTTCCCAGCCACATAACCGTGTGTCACATGCTCTCCATGCCCCTCGCTAGGACACCCGCTGGCGAGGACGGGGTGCCCAGCAGATAAGACAAGCCCACCGCCGACAGGAAAGATCCCCAGGACACAGAACGAGGCCACTCTGCTCACTGAGCTGAATTTTGCCTAGGAAGAAGAGAGCATCGTCAAGGGAGGCTGTCCACGGGCAGGCTCAGCCGGGAGAGTGGACGACCAGACCCCGGGGGCATCTGAGCCCCTGTAGCTGTCGTGAATCATCCATGTGAAGTCTATGAGCTCTGCTCCTGTTGTGTTTAAGTGAATGGATAAATATCTTCCAAACATTCTGGGTTGAGTTTCCATCCCTAGAGTGGTAAATAGGGAGAGTACCTCCCACAGAAGTGCTCTCTGGGGTCCTCAGTAACTTTTAGGAAGGTGAAGAGGTCTCCGGCTGGAATGTTTGAGAACAGTGCTAGGATCCCGGCTCTGCACCTCACCCAGAGAGTGAATGCCTGTCTCAAGTGACCTGAGCTTCTCAGGTGACCGAGAGCAGCACGCACTGTGCTCTCTGTTCTCCACGTGCTGCTTGAACCTTGGCAGACATTGGCTCACTTGATCCTCCTCTGACACCCAAGGTCGCATGGTTTCCACCTCCCACGCATGAAGGACACAGAGGCTGGGACACGTGTCTGGGGTCTCACGGCCACAAAGTACACAGGCTGCAGCCCGGGAGGCCTGGCCTCCTGTGCAGACCCCCACCCCCTGGCCGCTCTGCTCACCAGCCCTGTCTCTCCCGCGGCTGTGGCCCACAGCAGTCCCTCCCTCTGACCGTGGTTTCAGTCTCAGGGTCCTGGCTCCCGCGTCTCCGTGTCTGCGTGTGAGCGTGTGTGAACGTGTGTGGGTGTGTGTGAGCGTGTGTGAGAGTGTGTGAAGCCTGCTCGGCTGCCGTCACAGAACACTGCACGAGGCCCAGGGTGTGCTCCAACCACAGAGCTCACCGCCATGGGGGCTGGGGCCGGAGGTCAGGGTGTCGGGGCTGGTTGCTTCTGGGTTCTGTCTCCTCCTGAGTCCTCTTGAGATCCCTGCACCCCACGTGTGTCTAGGTCCCGGTCTCTGTGCGTCCCTCACCACTCGGTTTGGGTGGGGCGCAGCCTGTGACCCCACTTCACCTCCTGCCTCTGCGGGCAGCCCCATCCTGAGCTGCTGGAGCTATGGCTTCCACACGGGGGTTCGGGGACACACTCAGGCCTACCACAGGGGCCACACTGGGGTCTCACTGACTGAGGGTGCCACTGGCTTTGTTGGAGGAGAGAGAACACGTTTCCTGTACACCTTTCAGAGAGCCAGCTGGGCTCTGGGGGGCTTCAAGGAAGGAGGGCGCCGCGGCGGGAGGTCCCACGTGCCCCACGGGCTCATCGTGCCCTCATGCGCCTGGCGATGTGGGCAGTGAGGTGTCGTGTGCTCCCGGGGCACACGGGAGGTGGAAGCCCACAGCACCTCTTGGCTTGCGTGAGATCTGCCTGGAGTCCTCACCCCCTGCTCTGTGGCCTGAGAGGCTGGGGGTGCTTCAGGGCAGCCAGGGCGGGGCAGGCTGGCTGGGACCCCACCTCTGTGCCACGCCAGGGCCCCCGCCCGCCCACGGGCAGTCGGCCTGCTCTTCAGTCACGCTCCAGTGGCTTCCGTCCACCTTTCTGCAGGAGGAATCCCTGGGCTCAGAGCATGTCCCTGCAGACCTGACCCTGGTGGGCCCCCACCAGCTCTTCCCACCTGGGGGACCAGGCCAGGGACCTGAGACACACTTCTCTACAGGAGGCCTGGCCAGACCCCCAGAGTGAATTTACAGAGTCCACAGGGGCTCAGGGCTGCTCTGGGGACAGGACTGCAGATCCCTGAGTCCAGGAAACGGCCGGCTGCCCAACCTCGAGGAGCACGGTTCAGGAATTCCCCCTGGTCCTCCGGCCTCGTGCACGCCGAGCCCACCTGATTCTGTTGTTAGGACTTTAAGTTACCAATAAAACTACTCTGCTAGTCAAAAACAAAACAAAACAAACAAACAAGAGAGCAACAGAAACCTGAGACAGGTCCCCCTCGATGCTGTGACCTGGTCAGGCAGCTCCTCATCTGACCATGACCCTCCCACTTCCTGCCCCCCCCCACAGTTCATCTTACACTTCCTGATGATAAGGGGGGGCACCTCCCTCCCTTCCTGCCTGGACCTTCCCATGGAGTGCCCCCTGCCTTGCTCCTTCTCCCAGTTCCCTCACACCCGCAGCCCTGCCCTGCCCCCCCAGGGTCTCTGCTGCTCCCAGAGCACACAGCAGATGAGTGTGCCCTGATGATGAGGGAGCCCATTGTCTGGCCACCCAGAGGACATCAGGGGCAGCCCCCACATCAGGAGCCAGTTTCTCCTGGGCTGTGGAGGAGTCAGAGTCCTGCCCTAGGCCACTGCAGTGTCCCCTCCACCCTGTCTTTGGGCTCTGTCTAGCAGGCAGTGCTGGGCACACATGCAGGCAGAGGCAGGTGAACCTGGCCACTCTGGGCGTATGGCAGCAATGGCGACGTGGACAGCAAGTGCCTTGTCCTACTGGGCTTTGTCTAATTCTAGGACTACCTTCCTAAGCTGAGGGAGGGCCCCTCCCTTGCTGGGAGTGGGGGCTGGCACCTGCTGTCCTCTGCCTCCTGGCCTCTGCAGATATGGCCGGTCTCCAGGGCCCCAGTTCCTGGGAGTGCCCGCCCGCCAGGCCGCAGGAGGGGCGCCCACTCCTGGCTGCCTGCCCGTGCTGTGTGTGTCTCCTCCTCTAGTTCCACACACTCCTTCACGGTGTGCTGGCCACCAGAGCCACAGCCAGCCCAGCGTGTCCTTTTGCCTGGCCCTGGCCACCTGCAGGAGGTGACTGCTGGCTGTGAGGGCTGGGACACCCAGGGCTGCTCTGAGTCTCTTGAACTGGGTCTTTCCATGGTCACTGTCCCTTGCTCTTTTCTTCAGCCCTCCCCAAATGAGGCATCAGAACTTACCTCAAAGGCACTGGATATGAGGCCGAGAAGTTCTCACTCTGTTCGGAACCCCCCCCCCCGGCTGGCCAGGTGTTTCTCCTGTGGACTGGTCATCCTCCCCTCCTTGGGCAGGTGGTCAGCACAGAAGGGCACCCGGCAGTGGACCTGTCTCTCCAGCAGCTCTCCCTCCTGGCTGCCCTGGTGGGCAGGACCTGCCCTGTCCTGTTAGCTGGCTGCACAGGTGGATGGTGGAGTGGAGGTCTGGCCCTTAGTTTCCCCTGCTCTTCTGAGCCCCTGCTCATGGGTACCTACGAATCTCCCACCACTGGCGAGGACCCTCCAACTTGGCCAACTTTATATCCAATGTGATTCCAAGAACAACAACAAAACGGGCTTCAGGTGAAGCGTAAGACACAAGATCAGGGCGGGGGTTTTAAGCTGGCTTCTATTTTTAAGGCATACAGCACAGGGTGGGGACGCCGTGACTGCCCACTTGCAGGGGGTTGGCACCAGGTGGCGGGAACCCCCCGGCAGTCATCCAGGAGAAACGGGCCTACAGAGAGTGTGTCTGCCAGAGCCAGCCTGTGCCCTGCGAAGGCTGAGGAGCTCCGGAAGACAGGGAAGCCGGGGGATGGCGCCCAGTGCAGGGGCATCCGGAGAACCCAGGGAAACCGGCACAGAGGAGACCGTCGCCCCAATGTGGGCTAGCCTCTGAGGTAGAGCCAGGGGCCAGGTCCAGCACGTGGCTCAGGTGTGGCGGCCTGGCAGCTGGGTCCCCAGCAGAGGGAGCAGGAGATCAGGTGAACAGGAGCTGACCTGGAGGGGCCAGTACTGTCCCTCCCCAACACACCTCACTCCCTCCTCTGAGGCGCTGACGAGACCGAGTCCACCCTGACAGCACCGAGGCCCAGCTCTGACCCCAGATGGAGCACCCTGGGCAGTGTGGCAGCTCTGCCCTCTTGCAGCTGTGGTCACCCCAGGGCCGCAGGTCAGAGTGGCAGGGATCTTACAGAAAAATGGTCCCCATCCTTCCCCAGGCCTCTCTCCGTGATGCACCCCCTAGGAACACTGAGAGGACCCCCAAATACAAGGCTGTGAGGACCAGGAGGAAGAGCCTCATCAAACATGCTGGTGACCTGTGTTGGCTGTGTCGCTTCCCGTCGGGGACACTGCTCTGCCAGGCTTCCTGCCGGGGTCTGTTCACCTGAGGAGCAGGAATCCTTGTTCCTGAAGAAGCTGTAATGCAGCCCAGGGCTGCTGCTGGCCACGGGGAGTGCCCCGACCCTGACCCTCCACCAAGACGGCCCCAGAATGAACCCTCTGTGCTCCTTGGTCCAGGGCCAGGTGGACCCCACACTCCATAGCCAAGGCCTGGACTAGAGGGCAGAGCAGCTATGTCAAAGGAGGCCTGTGTTTCAGAGAGTGACCCGGGCGTTACCCCACTTCCTGTTACAGGATCCAGGAAAGCTTCTACTTTGGCTCCCAGTTGTGGTGCACTGCCAGGTCCCCTGGCTCCCTCCTGCTGTCCCTGGGCCTCGCCCCCCTGGGTCTTCAGGCTGGGCCCCGGGCTCCCTGGAGCACCCCCTCCCTGCATCCTGGACCTGGGACTCGTCCAGCACCACTTCACCCTCAGCTCCTCCGGCACCTGGATCAACGCCCCGTGGGCCACCTCCTGACACCAGCTGAACTGCCCTCCGCGGTGATCTCAGAGCAGGTAGTGAGTCACGATGTGGGAGCCCTGGGATGACCAGAACTCCTGTGGCACCTGCTGGGGAGAGGCGAGGGCGGGAGGGAGGTCACAGGCCCAGGAAAGGTGCCTCAGCAGGAGGAAGGAAAGGCGGCCCGTCTGGGGAGCCAGAGGCCCAGTGCAGGAGCCTGTCACGGGTGTCCTCAGGACCTATCTCTCCTCTGCCCGGCCAGGCCATGCCAGTTGGTGCTGCAGAGCTGGACGGAGCCGGGCCCCACTGGCAAGTGTATGTGCCCCATTAGGAGAAGTGGCTCAGGGCCTCGATGGCCTCACTGGAGCTGTGGCTTTGGAGGCCTGTCTTGAGGAGGACATCCACCCGGGGTGCTCATCGCTGGCTATTCTGCCCGCCATCAGTGCAATTTCCACCGACAGGAGCATGTCCACGCGAGGGCCTGCGTGTTTCTCTAAGGGCTTCGCTGCGCCTGGCCACAGTCGTGTTCCGTCACGTGGGGAGGCCCGGTCACCAACAGCTGAAGTCCTCCTGTTCAGCTGAGAGTTCAGCTTTCCCTAGAGAGGCCACGTGGTGGGAGCAGGGTCCCTGGAGCCAGGACCGCGGGAACGCTGCACGCACACCCACCCAGCAGGGACGGCTTCTTGTCCAAA